GACCAAAAAACAAATTCTTTATAGTCCGAAATGGTTAGGGTGGTGATTTTACGATTGGAGTGATGCAAGCGAGACTGTTGCAATTAGTGCAGTCGCTGTTACATTAGTGTATTGTAGATAAATTTATAAAATGTTTCGACCAAAAAAAAAGATAGAAATGTTTAAAAATATTCAAAGTATACAAAATTCCAACAGAATTTTTAGTACATATATAAAAATAATTTCTGCCCATAAATTTTGTAGATATTATTGTGATTGTTTATAATAGCTAAACATATAGATTTAAAACATACTCCTAGTAACTAGCAAAGAATATATACAATCTTATATTAAACTATATAGTATTGGTGAAACTATGATATATAAATCAAATGTATATTCAAGGCGTGGGCGGTGAGGGAAGGAACTTATCTACTAAACATGAAATGACAAAAGAAGAAGATGTTGCCATTTGAGGACCCACAATAAGAAGTATCGATTGTCTTCTTTGACAAGATCCCTTCTCTCTTTGATATTTTATTTCCTATAACCTTGATTTAGTTATATGATGGATTGGTGACTATGAAGAATTTATTCATGCTTCCACTAATTAAAATTGGTAGTTTGAGTTTTTGGTTTATGGGTTAAGACGTCTTTCTAGACAGAGAAGGATAGGAGGAAGAATTTTCAAGCATAAAACTTGGTACCAAACACATAAACATTTATCATATTTTGGGTATGTTTCTTAAGATGAAGAAAATTACCAAACTTTTGTAGCTAACCATTAAAACGAAAGGTAATATAAAGAGAGAGAAAATCATGTGTTACACAAGTCACAAGTTTAAAGTCCTTTTCTAGAGAGAAAAATATAGTAGTGGAGGTTGCTTGCTCGCAATTACTAGTGTTATTCAAAGAAAAAACAACGGCTTCGATTGGTTACCACGTTTGCAAACGAGGTACCTTTCAACCGCCCGTTTGTTACCAATCAAACGATCGTTTGAACGGGTGGTTGAAACGGTCGTTTGCAACTTCGTTTGCAAACGGACTTTTGATAAAAAAGTCGTTTGAAC